CGCGGGGACATCCTGGCCCCACCCTGGGGTGCCAGGATCCCCTCTGCCCACCCCGGGGTGCTGGGACATCCTCTGTCCACCCTGGGGTGCCAGGATCCCCTCTGCCCACCCTGGGGTGCTGGGACATCCTGTGCCCACCCTGGGGTGCCAGGATCCCCGCTGCCCACCCTGGGATTCCAGGACCCCCGCTGCCCACCCTGGGGTGCTGGGACATCCTGTGCCCACCCTGGGGTGCCAGGATCCCCGCTGCCCACCCTGGGATTCCAGGACCCCCGCTGCCCACCCTGGGGTGCTGGGACATCCTGTGCCCACCCTGGGGTGCCAGGATCCCCTCTGCCCACCCTGGGTGCTGGGACATCCTCTGCCCACCCTGGGGTGCCAGGATCCCCTCTGCCCACCCTGGGATTCCAGGACCCCCTCTGCCCACCCTGGAGTGCTGGGACATCCTCCGCTTGCCCCAGGCTTTTCGGGACCCTCACTGCTTGCCCTGGGGTGTTGGCACTCCTAAGCTTGTCCCAGGTTTTTGGGATCGCCACTGCCCACCCTGGGGTGCTGGTTCTCCTCCCCAGGCCGTCCCAGCGCCATCCGCGCTCCCTGACGTGCTGTGCTCTCTGCAGGCGCCGCTCGCCGTCCCGACGGATCCTGCTGGATGCTGCTGCCCCGCGGGCCCGGGCGGGATATCATCGTATACTGTAAGTTCACTATGAGACACTACAGTATAGATGATGTACTCCCCCGGGCTCGCCTCCGCCGCCACCAAGACCTGCTGCCACTGCGCATGGCGGGGCCAGGACCAGGGACACCCAGGGCTGGGACATGGGACCTCCAGGGCCTGGGATTTGGGGTATGAGGCACCAAGGAACCGGGATTTGGAGCTCCCAGGGGCTGGGATTTGGGTCTCTGAGGGCTGGAGGGATGTGGGGCAGAGTGTTGGGGTTGAAGGGCTCCAAAGGGCAGGACCAAGGGGCTGGGCTCCATGGGGCACCCCGGATGAGGCGTGGAGCAGCTCCGGATGCAGCAGGACCTCGGCCAGCGGGGAAACCGTTACCATTACTGAGTTTAGTAATGGTGACGGTTCTGCTGCTGGCCGGCACGCGGCGAGGGACCCCGCGGCGGTGGAGGCAGCGGCGGCGAGAAAGCCGCAGAGGTGACAGCGCAGGCAGCCCTGGCAATAAAAGTGGTTCTGGCACTGCGGCTCCGTCTCCTCCTTCCTTGGGTCACTCCGGAGGGTGCAGGGTGGGATGGAGAAGGCCGGTGCTCCTTGGCATGGGGCACCCCAGGGTGCAGAAGGACCGGGCGCATTGCAGGGGGTGCTGGGGGGACACTGGGGTCCCTGCAGGGGACACTGGGGTGAATTGCATTGGTGTCACCAGCATGGACTGCGGAGAGCACTGTGAGCACCGGGGTGCCATGTGGGGGGCACTGGGGTGTCATGGGGGGCACTGTGAGCACCGGGGTGTCATGTGGGGCACTGGGATGTCATGGGGGTGACACTGGGAGCACTGGGGTGTCATGTGGAGCACTGGGAGCACCGGGGTGTCATGGGGGGCACTGTGAGCACCGGGCTGTCATGGGGGGCACTGGGGTGTCTTCTGGGCAGCACTGCGAGCACTGGAGTGTCATGTGGGGGCACTGTGCACTGTGGGGCAGTGCAGCCCCAGGCGGCACGGGGGGACATCTGGCGGGATGGGGCTGCCCGGGGAGCTGCAGCGGGGCCCGGGCACAGCGCG